TCATTTACGGCTTCCTAGGTCCTATATGCAGCTTTTCAAAGCACTCCGAATTGCCCCTTGGCCTTCCCCAGGCTTCGTGGCTTGAAGCCCAATGCTGCACATGACATGAATCTTCCAGTGCCGTTTAGAGGTGAGGGTTGAATAAAGGGGTCGTGGCTTGTATTTGGGTCTTATGTTTTTTCGAAGGACCCATAAACTAGGACCTGAACCGTGAGGTGGTGCCATCCCAGAATCCCCTCTGACATTATGCCAATTAGATAGGGATATCCCACTCGGGAGTATGTGTTTGGGTGCTTCTGGGGCTGCTGATTTCCCTCCTACCAAGCCAGAAAGAAGCCCGCACAGGTTTTATTTTCGGGCTCAGGATTAGCATCATCATACAACTCACCCTTCCTATAATAAAAAAATGCCCGCAGAACCCCCTTGAAAAACACCTCAACCCCTTCACCCATGATCCGTGAAATGCCAGGGTGAAGACTCCTGATCCCTAATCCCGTCGCCGATCCCCTAATTATAGAGAACTACCCAGAACTCCGAATCCATTCAGGTCTGCCCAGCACCTCACCCGGCCCCGTTGACCCGAACCCAAACATCCCAAACCCGGGTGGCACCTTCTCCGGGCGACGGCGTGCTGCATGGCGGTCCGGGTCTCCACAATTCAGGGTTAAGGGTTTGGGATTAGGGTGGAGGGTGCAAAGGTTTAAGGCTTAAGGCTTAAGGCTTAAGGTTTGGGGTTATTTAAGGATAAACAAATGGGGCTGAGGGCCCTGGGAGCTAATCCTAGGGTTAAGGGATTAGGCACGAGGGTCGAGGGTTTAGGGTTTGGTTTAAGGCTAACAAGGAAATTGAGGATGAACAGACGGGGTTGAATAAAATGATATAATATAACAAATACCGACAGTGAAAACTAATGTCAAGGTTCAGGCTTAGATTAGGGTTGAGTGTCAAGGGTTTGTAGTTTACGGTTTGTGGTTTGAGAATTAAAGATTAAAAAGAAAGGTTCGGTTACTTAGTTAAAAGCCTTTAGGAGGGACTTTTATTTTATTATTAGGGCTTTTAGGGGCTACGGCTACGGCTAGGGCTAGGGCCAGGGTTTAGGGCAAGATGTTTGGGTGTTAAGTCCTAGTTTACACCCTGAACTCTGCCCCAAACCCTAGGCCCTAAACTTGACCCTGAACCCTTGACCCTTAACTCCTGGACCCTAGCCCTAAGCCCTGAACCCTTAACCCCGAAACAACAGCCTCGTCATGCAGAAGCCACAGCCCGAAAGCTGTGACAGCCACAGCCCTCGGGCTGTGACGTGCAGTCCGAAGACTGCGCTAGCCACAGCCCAAGGGCTGTGACACCGCAGTCCGAAGACTGCGGTAGCCACGACCCGAGGGTCGTGACAGCCACAGCCCGAGGGCTGTGACACCGCAGTCCGAAGACTGCGGTAGCCACGACCCGAAGGTCGTGACAGCCACAGCCCAAAGGCTGTGACAGCCACAGCCCGAGGGCTGTGACGCCGCAGTCCGAAGACTGCAGTAGCCACGACCCGAAGGTCGTGACAGCCACAGCCCGAAGGCTGTGACAGCCACAGCCCAGGGCTGTGACGCCGCAGTCCGAAGACTGCGGTAGCCACAGCCCAAAGGCTGTGACAGCCACAGCCCGAAGGCTGTGACACCGCAGTCCAAAGACTGCGGTAGCCACGACCCGAGGGTCGTGACAGCCACAGCCCGAAGGCTGTGACAGCCACAGCCCGAAGGCTGTGACGCCCCAGTCCGAAGACTGCGGCAGCCACGACCCGAAGGTCGTGACATTTGCATGACGAGGCTGAGAACCCCACCAAAATCCCCAAATCCCCAAAACCCAAAACCCTGCCCCACCGAAAACAAACCCGCAAAGTCCCGAAACCCTGCCCAAGCTAAACCCTAATCCCAAAGTCCCGAAACCCTGCCCAAGCTAAACCCTAACCCAACCTAAACCACACAAAGTCCCGAAACCCTGCCCAAGCTAAACCCTAACCGTTAACCGTAACCTAACCTAAACCACCCAAAGTCCCAAACCCTGCCCAAGCTAAACCCTAACCTAACCTAAACCACCCAAAGTCCCAAAACCCTGCCCGAGCTAAACCCTAACCTAGCCTAAACCACCCAAAGTCCCAAAACCCTGCCCGAGCTAAACCCTGGCCCTAACCTAACCTAAACCACCCCAAGTCCCAAAACCCTGCCCGAGCTAAACCCTAGCCCTAACCTGAGCTAAACCTAAACCACGGCCTCGACGCGACCGCAGCCACGGCCAGCGCCAGCGACTTTAGGGCTTTAGGGTTAGGAGGGTTCAAGGCTTTGTTGAAAGTTTAAAGGGGGATTCGGTGGGAAGTTTGAGGTTTAATTAGGAGTTGTATAGTCGGACCCTACCCTCGAGCCTGAAGTCTGCGAGGCTGTTCAAGACGAAGTAAACTACTGTATTGAATATAACTATATTAGTAAATTAGTATCATCTATGATCTATACCTATAATCGGGCCTGGAAATGATGATCAATCGGGCCTGGGGGGGTGGGGGGGGATGATCATGGGCATGATCATCCTCATGCCGGGGACATGCCTTAGGCTGCCGGTGTCAAGCCTTATGCTACGGTGTTCCTACATGGTTCCAAGGAACCACTGACCTCAGAGTCGTTCCCTCCACTAGCCCGAAACGCCACATCCCAAATGCTTCAGGTATAGGCAGAAAGACAGACGGGCCTAAAACTTCAACACCAACGCAACAGAAATGAGAGTTTCCGAAAATAGGGGACCCAAATATAGTACCCGAAATAGTTAGATCCTTATTATAGGGACCCCAAAAGACGGTACCCCTAATTTTCCGAAACCCTAAACCCTTTCTAGAACCCGTATAGATCCCTTTAAGGAACCATTACTGATCCATTTTGAAGGTACCCCAAATTTGCGGAAACTCCCAATGCTGGGGTGACAATCCGAAGCATTTCCTGCTGTCCATGACTCCCTGGTGCTTAGTAGGGAATGGGGGAATGGATCCCTAGGGTAGTTAGTCCCTTAAGCTCCCCTATAGTAATCTCAATAACCCATTCCCCCATTCCCTACTTGGAGGGTCGGGGGACTTAGCAACTGGTTATTTTAAGGACTTGTAAGTACCATAATCCCAATTAGGGTCGCTTTTAGGGTACTTATAACTCTACTTACTACCTACTTACTAAGTCCCCCGACCCTCCAAGTACTAAGAGCCAGGCAGATGATGCTGTACTGGAGGCTTCCGCTGCCATATTCCTGAAGGCAGATGGGAGTTTCGGAACATTAAGGGTGCTTTTCAAGGGATCTATGGGGTTCCCTTAAGTCCTGAAAGGGATCTATAAAGGTTCTATAAAGGGCTTTAGAGTTTCCAATAATTCGGGCTACCGAATTGGTGTCCTTAGAATAAGGATCCGACTATTTATCGGTACTATATTGGGGTCTCCTAATCTCGGAAGCTCCCAGATCATTTTTCGAAGCATAACTAACAATGGAGTGTGCAGCAGCCTCTTCGGCATACGAGTGTTCAGAACGGGATGTCCATTCTCTGCGTGCACCGTAAATTCCAAGGGTACAATGAAAACCACCGAGACTAGGACGATGGCTGAAACCTCACATACCCTGTTTGTCAACACTACCGTCACCACGTGCCGGATCATCAATTTAGTGGTGACACGCCTTATAAGCTTATCATGGACACCATCGCCATCCGCATGTTCGTTCACCGCCCAGGAATCCTCAACTATGTACCTATATATCTATACTATATATATATATATACATCTATATATTTATATGTATATATATATATACATATATAAATATATATGTTACTCGGAAATCCAGACCCAAGCTCCCAACCCGGTAGATCTGGAACACATAGGCAGCCCAAGCTCCTGAGCCCTAAATCCTAAACACAAGAAACCCAAACGCGCCCCGCTGAGCCCTACATTTCTAAACATGAAAAACCAACCTCTTAGGCCCTGTGCATAGACTCGACTTGCTGGCAGAAATCTTAAGTCTTGAGAACGTAACATACATGCCATAATATCGGGGGCGCCTTAATGATCAGAGCAGGGTAAGGGTTTTGAGTATATACGCTTATGAAAAGGGCCTTAAATCCTTCGAATAGGGTCTTGGTGTATTTCTGTGTAACTTCTTTCGAACTCATCCGAACTCTATATTATTATTCCCTCTTACCATCTTGCCGCAAACCTGCAGCTTCAATCACGATCAGCGCCTGCTGATCAGGTCGGATGCCGACTCCACCAAAGACAGGGCGACCTCAGTTACAGGTTGGGTACTGCCGCCACACAGTAACAGTCTATAACAGGGCTACAATTGAAGGCCTAGTTTATCTATATCATGAACCTTACTCACGGGGGCAGTACCCAAGTTAGAGGGTTCTTGGTTCGGGATGTTGAGCGTCTAGTGTTTACAGCTTAGGGTTCACGCCGAACTAAGTGGTTTTCAGTATAGAAGACAAAACCTCAACAATCAAGACCCTATACTATACCCTGAAGCCCCGAACCCTAAACCCCCAGAGCCGTCCTTTCTCGCTCATCATTTAACATACAAAATACCTGCATCTTCCTCTGGAAGGCACAGCATAAACGTGGTTCCCCAGTAGCCTCTCAATAATTGTATGGGCGTTTTCTTCCCTGATATCCGGCTTTAATAACGGGGCCCCAAAACACAAAGGGCAAAATATGTACTACTGGAGAACCTAGTAGAGAGCTGTCTGGCTTGAAGATGGTGATCCCTTTGACATTCTGCCAAAGGCATCGACAGGAATCTGCAGCCTGGCAGTGTCGAACTCGGCCACAGGCAAACATCACTTTTTGCGGGATACTGTAGGAACCTGATTCAGAAACCTCGGCCCTAATGCCCCAATATATTACGCCTCGTATAGTGAGCCCGAATAAAGACCCAGGGTTTCTTATTCAGGTTCCTGCATGACACTGCTCAAAGATGCTTTGGCAGTGGGTGCATTATCGTTCAGTCAGAACCCTCAAAAGACCTGCGGCTTCTGCCATGCCCTCGACTCGTGCCACATCAAAGGCAGTTCTGCCTTCACTATCCTAGGTGCCCCAGTAGACCCTTAAGAATAAGGGCGCTCCTTTCCCTATTACGTATTCGGTTACTATCGTACCCTGATAGATCCTGCACAGTACCCTATAGAGACCCTTTACAGCAAATAAAAGAAACCCTAGGGTTTAGGGTTTAGGGTTTAGAACTCAAAAAAACAGCAAAAGCGTACTACTGGGTAATCGAGTATCCAGTGCCCCGGCATCTGCCTTCAGTTCCAGCAAAGCTGCAATAACATCCACATAGCCATACTCAGCTGCCTGGGTTTAGGGTTCAGGGCGGCTTTAGGGTTCAGGGGTTTACGGTTTTAGGCGGGGTTGAGGTTTAGTGTTCAGGGGTTTAGGGCTAAGGCTTTATGGATTCAAAGGGCTCCATGCGTGGGTTGAATTACTTGCCCTCAATCCAACCTGGCTTCATCCCGCCCTAAAACCCAAACACTGCACCCACAGCCTTGTGCAGCGGAGTCATCTGCTTCTCGTCCTGCACCTTCGGATCTGCGCGACTCTTGACTAAGAGCCTCACCTGGATTTTGTTGCGAAACTTGGCTTCTGTTGCCATAACAAGGGAAACATGTAGAGTACTAGAATAGTCTCCAAGTATGGCACCTTACAAACTAAGGTACTAAACCACAAAACCTGTTGTTCACTATGCACCCCTGTTCGAATACTAAGGTTACAACGAACCCAGGCACAGTCTGCTCGCGCCCCCACTGTGCCGCATAGTGAAGCGCCGTGGCGTTGTCTTCGCCGTTGGTTTCCTGGTTCAAAAGCCAAAACAAGTCAAAGCAAGTTGAACTTTCAGCTTTCAGGGAATCACATATCACAGAATCGCAATTGCTATAAAATCTGAGTCTACTGATTCAGCTACTAAGTTTCATGCGGGTCTGCTCGCAGAGACAGCAGCATCTGCACACAGCCGTTGTGCCCTCCACCACTCGCCACACCCAGGACGCTGTCATCAGCCGCCGTCCTTATCCAAGGATCTGCGCGGTAACGAAGCAGGAGCCGGCCCACACCTTCGTTTCCAGTCGCCATGGAACTGAAGAATGCAGTTTTCCCCCCATTGCCTGGGTTCTTGTTAAGGGATTTAAGTTGCCATTATAGGGATCGACAGTGCATGATATGGTTTCCTTGTGCTGGAAACTACAAAACTAATTAATTGAATCCCTTAACAAGAGCCCAGATGCAGGTAAGGTTTGGCAAGGCCCGGTGGGATAGAAGGAGTTCCACACAGCTCAATTGGCCGCAGAAGCTTGCAGAATGGAGCGCAATGGGAAAGGGACCGCCTTCGCAGATGCCATTGACATCATCTGCATGAGGGAGGATGGTCTGCAATACTTCGGCATGTCCATTGATGCTGGCTGCAGTCAGCATGGTGCTGTGGACCTTTCTGTGGTAGCGTAGGAAGATTTGGCAGCACTCCAAGCTACCACTGAATGCTGCCAGGTGAAGTCCGTTCGGTATAGCTTTGTCGACCCATTTGATGTCCTCGCTTTGCCAGAGATCCACTTCGTACGAAAGGTCCGCACCCCTCACGAGCAAGTGAGAGAGAGCCTCGTGATGACCTGTTCAGGATTTAGGGTTTTCGGGTTTAGAGTTGAAGGTTTCTTGTAAGGGCTCAGGGTACATGTTGTATGGCCCTGGGGTATTGTGCGCAGCGGTTCGGCTTTTTTGACTATTACCAGTAGTGTTTCGATTGCCTGTGCTAGTACTAATATCACCGATAGCTACATTTTGTGACTGCACTGTTTTCATGACAGATATATGTATGCTATCATTACAGTGATTGTGCGTATTTTCATTTCCCTCACAGGGGTGCCTGTGGCAGCGGAGAGCATCCAGGGTGTGAGGCCATTCTGATCGCGTGCGTTGACATCCATCTCTGCGGCGATGAGGAGATCAAGAACGTTGAGGTGCCGGTTGTATGCCTGGGCACACCAGAGATAGACTACGAATCCAATACTCAGAGGAAGAGTCATTACAGCAATACTACAGTAATCCCATAATCATGAAGTTCACCACTACAACAACAGTAAGCATCACATAGACACAATGCAAGGGTGCTGTTTGTATGCCTGGGGCTGGTTGAGGATTCAAGAGGTCAAGCAGGTGCAGGTGACAGTTGTGTGCCTATGTTCCAGCGTAAACAACAAAAAGTCGGAATAATGCTGCCAAAAAATATCAATAAGAGCCAGTAAGCATAATAATAACAGTGCGAAAGATACAAACAGTCGTGGAAACCTGTTCTCCCTTATTGTACTCAGACTTGAAAGGAATGCAAAGGAGCACCAATAATGGCGAGAACCCACATAAATCCTACAAGCATTGAAACCCGCAATAAAAGGGGCCTTGACAGCTGGACTAGGTTTTGGGTATAGTATGGTTGATTGCAATCAGGATCCCTCTTGAAAGGAACCAAGTACCACGCCCCAAAACCCTAAACCCCTAAACACCAAACTCTGAACCCCTAAACCTGAAACCCTAAACCCCTATACCCAAAACCACCGAAAACCCTAAACCCCTTTAGCCAAAATCCCTGAACCCCTAAACCCTAAATTTCAGAGGCTAACTAACCGGGCCTAGGTCCCTGAACCCCTATAAACCCCTGAACCCTAAACCCCAAATTTCAGAGGCTAACTAACACCCTAAGGGTCCAAGCACCTAATTATCATATACTCTCCAAAATCCTAACCTACATAACTACTATCCTAAAACCGAGTACCTAATTATTGGATCCTTTGGACCCATGGGGTAACAGGGCCAAGGTGCAGCGGCCATGTGGAGAGGCGTTTGGCCCAAGGAGTTGCAGCTCTCGAGCTCCCCTTCCTTGGGGGTTTAGGGTTTTTAGAGTTCACTAGACCCAAGAGTCGCCTGGCAATAAAAAGGGTGCCCTTTTTGGTTTAAAGGGGGTTATAAGGGAACCTGAACCCTAAAAAAGGGAATAAGGGCTTACTCTGGGGCCTAGTTCAGGGTTTTAGGGTTTTAAGGCAGGGTTTAGGGCTTGTGAAGTGGGTTTTAAGGTAGGGTTTAGTTCTTAGGGTTGCCCAGTTCAGAGGCCATTCTTGTTGCTTTTAGGTTTCGGGTTTGGGGGTTTTAGGAATTTCTTGCTTAGGGTTAAGGCTCAGGGTTTAGGGTTACTTGCCAGGCATCCTAGGGGGACGTGAATGTTAAGCTTTGGGAATTTAAGGGGATTATAGAATTCCCACAAAAGTTACTGAAAGGGTCACCTACTCTGCCATTTTTGTCGCTTTCAGGCTTGGGGTTTCGAAATTTCGTTGCCTAGGGTTTCAAGAACCCTACACTCCGAACCTCACACCCTAAACCCTAAACCGTGAACCCTAAGCCCTAAAACCCTAAAAGCCTAAACCCTAAAGGTTACTAACTTAGATGCGATGCCGAGGCAGCTGCAAGGGCTAGTCGAACCTCACCGGGCTCCTTCCTTTGAGCTACGCCTTGGCAGGTCTAGGCTTATGCTAAGCTTATAGGGTTGAGGAGTTCGGGTTTGGGGTTTAGGGCTTCGTTATAGGCTTATGGTGCTTGGGGTAGGGTTTTGCGGCTTAGGGCTGAAAGTTTCCCTAAACCCTAAACCCTAAACCCTAGGATTCAGAGTTTAGGGGTTATAGGGTTTAGGATAATACGGCTTATGGGGTCTTGGGGCTTGCGGTTTGAAGGGCTTGGTCCGATCCCGCTGGTATGTCTGATACCCTAAGTAGTAGGATCCTTAATACAAGGACCCCCAAAATAAGGTACCCCTGCTTTTCAGAAACTCTAAACCCGAAATCGTTCATAGAAGCCTTATAGTAACCCTTTAAAGGAACCCCTGAGGTACCCCTACTTTTCGGAAACCCTAGACAGTAAACCCTAAAACGTTTATAGAACCCTTGTAGATCCCTTATAGTAACCCTTTAAAGGAACCCCTAAGGTACCCCTAAAACCCTTATAGTAACCCTTTGAAAGGAACCCCTAAGGTACCGCTAATTTCCGGAAGCTCCCAGATGACCAAGACACTGTGAAGAAGGGTCCGGCCCTCGAAGGTGACAAACATCTTACCGAGTCCTTGGGTTGAGGGCTTTGGGGGTCTAGGGGTTTAGGGGTTTAGGGTTTAGGGGTTTAGGGGTTTAGGGGTTTTTGGGGTTTAGGGTTTAGGGTTCAGGGTTTTAGGCGTTAGGGTTTAGGGGTTTAAGGCTTGAGGGTTTAGGGGTTTTGGGATTTAGGGGTTTAGGGGTTTAGGGCTTTAGGGGTTTAGGGCTTGAGGGGTTTAGGTTTTTAGGGGTTTAGGGTTTAGGGGTTTAGGGTTTAGGGTGTAGGGTTTAGGGTTCAGGGTTTTAGGCGTTAGGGTTTAGGGGTTTAGGGCTTTAGGGTTTAGGGGTTTAAGGGTTTTGGGTTTTAGGGGTTTAGGGGTTAGGGGTTTAGGGCTTTAGGGGTTTAGGGTTTAGGGCCTTTGGGGTTTAGGGCTTTAGGTGTTTAAGGTCTAGGGGGTTCTTGTAAGTTAAGGAATCGAGTGTCAATTACCATAATCAGGAAATCGAGTTGCCATAATGAGGAAACCATCCTATACACTATATAGATCCCGACTATGTTTACCATAACGAGGAAACCATATCATATTATATAATTACTCTATAGATCTCGATCCTGGCAACTTGAAGTCTTAAGAAACCGTGATTATGTACTATATAGATCCCAACTATTCACTAAATGGGGGATTCCGAAAATAGGGGACCTGAATAGAGTACCCCAAACAGTAGGATCCTTATTCTAAGGACCCCAAAAGGCGGTACCCCTACTTTTCTGGAACCCTGGCCCCTAAACCCTTTAAAAGAACCCTCATAGATCCCTTAGAGGAACCCTTAAAGGATCCCTTTCAAGGTACCCCTAAGATTCGGAAACTCCCAAAAAGATCCCAACTATGGTAGCTTTTGGGCCCCAAGACCATACTGTATAAGGCTTTGGGGCTACTTTGATGCCCAGGGATATATACTATATATTACCCTAAACCCTAAACCCCTAAACCCCTAAACCGCAAAACCCTAAACCCCTAACTAAACCGCTAAACCCCCAAACCCTAAACCCCTGAACCCTAGACCGTTTATATAGAGCCCCACTATGGTAGCCAAGAGTCGGTGGAGGCGATAGAGGCGCATGGGCAGCTCCGGGGCATCCATAACCTTACTTAGGCTTTATAAGGGGTTTAGGGGTTGAGGGTTTACTTTCCAAATACCCATGGGGTAAAATCCTCAAAGTTTCAGAATAAGACTACCTTATGAGAGGCCAACAGACCACCAAGTAACGAGCTGATTCCCGCCGCGCCTTCGGAAAGCTTCTGCCAGCAATGATGTTACGTGCACACCGAACTGCTCCAAGCCAACGGCCTTAGGGTTCAAGGTATGTAGGGTTAGGGTGTAGGGTTTAGCGTCGAGGGTAGGTAGGGTTTAGGGGTGTGAATTTAAAGATTTTGGGGGCTTTTGAGTTAGGCGGGCCTTGTCGACTTCCTCCATGATCATGCGACGGTCCTGTTCCTGGCTAGCCTTCGCAGTGTTTGGGTCAATCTCCAAGACCCTCTTGGTTAGCCGAAGGAGATCCTCACGTTGCTCGCCGAAAGGCTCATCGCGGCCGACGGTGAGGACACCATTTTCCTCTCTTCTTCAATATCTGCGCCCAAAAAAGTTCGGTTTTTGTAAGTCTGTGATAAATAAGTATGTGAATAGAACCAAATAATCATATATATATATATACATATATATATATATACATATTGATAGATTGATAGATCGATAGATCAACACACCCATTAAGTTAATGTGTATATACACAAGTATGCATATGGCCAAATGTTCTGTATAAGTTTGAAGTATTCCCATTGGCTATCTAAGGTTCGGTAGCGATGTGGAAATCCTTCTTCAATGCGTGTGCACGGAGCACTTCGTAGAGGCACCAGATGCGCTGGAGTGGTGTGGCAAAGGGCTCCATGATCATTACCTTGGGTTTAGGGTTTATAGGCTACTCCATGGATAGAGTATCGGGAAACTGAATTGTTATTCCTAACTACTTGTGTTTATGTACCCATTGAGACTTAAAATGTTGTCCAATCACGACAAATTACCACGTGTGTGCAAGATGGGGCCGCGAGCGCTCGCTCGAATGGACTCTCTTGCAGAGTACTTCCCAAGTTCACCTCCCACTGGCGATTGGCAAAGGAACAGACCCAGAAGGCCACCTCGTCTGTGGGCTCAGAAACCACCTCCCAGGTGTCATTGACATCATCATGAACCTCTCGGGACGTTTCTGACCTGTAGGTGTTAGCGAAGAGGCGAAGAGCTCTCACGAAGCAGACGAACTCTTCCCCCCACCAGTGGCTCACAAACACCTGTGTTCTTGTTCAGGGATTTAGTTTACGTTACCATAATAGGGAAACCGTATTACTTGCTATGGATCCCTATTGTTGCAACTTAGACCTTAAACCCTATACCCTTGAAGGAGCCCTTATGGATTCCTTAAAGCACCCAGCAACCTGGGGCGCCAGGGGCTCCAGAAGCTCTGCAAAGGCCACGAGACGTGACTTGGTCAGAGGCTTGATGATCCTGGGTTTGGGGTTTGGGTTTAGGGTTTAGGGTTGTGTTGCAACAATGGAGATCTTGTTTAGGGTCTAGGGTTTAGGGTTCTGTTACAGTACTGGGCTTGGGGCAATAATGGGGATCCATAGTACTGAATAGTATGGTTTTTAGTATGGCAGCTTCAACTGAATACCCCTTGACAAGAACCCAGATTAGTGTATGTAGCTACCCCATGGGTTTACAGGAGAAGCCAGAAAGTTGGAATATCATTATCCTAACCCCTTTAATGTAAATTATAGGGGATCTTACCATTAATCCATATTCCAACTTTCTGGAGTTCCCTTTACAGTATGTGTATTTCGGGAACCCAGGATCTGCTCCACCACGTCGTAGTTTAGGGCTTAGGGTTGAGGGTTCATAAGCCCTAGGAATCTAAGGACTCATGTGTTAAGGCTTTTGGGCCCAAAGACCATACTATATAAGGCTTTTGGGCTTTTTTGATGCTGAGGGAAGGGGTCTAGGGTTTAGGGTTCTGTTGCCATAGCAGGCTTAATAATGTGGTTTCCTTATAATGGTAACCTAAATTACACCCCTTAACAAGAAGCCAGGATCTGCTCCACCACGTCGTACATGCTGGGCCGGCAGGCACTATTGCTATAAGGGTTCCACTTGGCCGTGGAGAGCCTCAGGTCGTAAGGGCTTTAATGATTAGAATAGGGCTCCTTTAAAGGGGTCTATAAGGGTTACTCTAAAGGATCTGCTATAAGGGATCTACTATAAGGGATTTACAAGAAGAAATCTACTAAAGTGTACTATAACGTAACGTTCATAAGCCGGGAAGGCTGCTTAAACATCGAGTCTCTAGAAAAATAACCGTCGCATTACCACCGACAACTTGCAGTCTAATCATTCTCACTATCATATACATGATCCCACAAAGCTTAAAACCTAAACCCTAAACCCTACATATATATATATATATATACACACACACATGTAGTAAAGCCTACTCACTCAGCTGCTGAGCCATGTCTTGTGTTCCGCCACGAGCCGAGTGAACTCTCGCAGAGGCACCCCCGACTCTTCCGGAGCTCTCGCAGGACCCGGGCCCAGCGCCTGGGTTTAGGGGTTTAGGGTTTAGGGGTTTAGGGGTTTAGGGTTAAGGGTTTAAGGGTTTTAGGGTTTAAGGGTTAAGGGTTTAGGGTTTTAGGGTTTAGGGGTTTTGGGCTTCGGTTCAGGGTTTGGGGTTTACCGTGTCTCTTCTTCAATAACCCGGGGCCCAAACAGGGCTTGGAGGTTAGGGTTTACTATCTAACCCCAAGGGTCCAAGTACCCAATAATCATATACTCTCCAAAATCCTAACCTACATAACTACTATCCTAAAACCGAGTACCTAACTATTAGGCCCCTATGTTCGAGAGCCCTTATAGTAGCCCCTTATAGACCCCTTTTAAAGGAACCCTAAACCCTAATTATTGGGTCCTTCGGACCCATGGGCTAAGGTCCCCAGACCTTCCAAAATCCCTTAATTAAGGAATATACCTTAAATTATAATAGGATCCCAAATATGAATTAAGGTATATTCCTTAATTAAGGGATTTTGGAAGGTCTGGGTCTCCCATTGGCCATCGAAGGCGCTTGAAAGAGCCAACGCACGAACGGCACCAACTTCAGCTCTCCCGGAAAAGCCTCACACTGCAGTGAACTCAGAGTTTTGGGGGTTACGGTTAAAGGGCTTAGGGTTTAAGGTGTATAGGGTTTAGGATGGGTTACGGTTATAGGGCTCAGGGTTTAAGGTGTATAGGGTTTAAGGCGGGTTGCGGCGATAGGGTTTCGGGTCAGGCTTCACGGCTTAGAGGGTTTTTTAAGCTTTGGGATTACAGGGTTAGGGCCCTCTAAACGCTAGAACCCAAACCTTACATCCTGAACTCTAAGCCCTAAACCCCAAACCTTAAATCCTAAACCCTAAGCCCTAACACCCCAAACCCTAAAAGAAAGGATCCTGTCCTCACAGAGCAGTGATACTTCCAGGTTGGACATCGAAAGCCCCTCGAGAAGCAAGTGCAGGCCCGACTCGTCCTGTAGGGTGTGTCAAAGGGGAAAAGGAGGGATCCTTAATGGGGACTCCCACCCTATAATGGGCTATATAATGGGTATATAATGGCTATAGTAAGGGTATATACCTAGGGGTCCTTATTAAGGGTCCCTCCTTTTACCCCTGGAGTGGAGTGTATATAGAGGCTCGAAGGCTTTTATAGGGCTTGTTGGGGTTTATAGGCTTTTATAGGGGGTTTGGGGGTATATAGGGTTTAGAGGGTTTAAGTCTTCACGGTTTAAGGGCTTTTATGGGGTTCATATAGATTTTCTAAATGGGGTTTATGGCTTTTATAGGCTTCATAGTTCAGAGGGTTTGGAGGGTTTAGAGGGGTTAGGTCCTCAGGGCTTTAAGGCTTCAGGTTTCCAGGATTTGGGTTATAGTTTAGGCTGTAGGCTTTTGAGCTCCTAAACCCTAAACCCTCAACCCCCAACCCTAAACCTTAAACCCTCAACCCCTAAACCCTAAACCCCCAAGAAATTGGGGTTTAGGGCCAACTCGTCCTTGAAGTCCCCATGCTTGGCAGTCCAGGCTTCGCAGTGGGCGATGACGGCATCCGACATGGCACTCCCTATGCTTCCAGGGACCTTATTATTGGCTCCTTCATGGGCTTTAGGGCTTCAGGGTTTAGGGTTTAGAGTTTTCCATGGGGTCTAGGCCCCTAACAAAAAAAAGGTCCTTGGAAGCAGAGGCCCTGGCGCTTCTTTTGCGAAGCAAGGCTCTCTCGAAGGATTTGGGCCCAGACAACTCGGCGAAGGATGCGAACCCTGATCGAAGTCTAATGTAGCAATCTGATTAAGAAACCTTGTTCCTAAGGGTTCCTTTAAAGGGGTCTCTACGGGTTACTATAAGGGGTCTATAGGGGTACTATGATAATGTAGGAACCTGATTAAGAAACCTTGGGCCTGTATCAGGGTTCCTTATATGAATCCTACTAATTTTGGACAAAATGCCCAGGGTTTCTTGATCAGGTTCCTACATCAAACCCTGAACCCTACACTCCTACACCGAGCCCTTAACCCCGAACCCTCAACCCTCAACCCAAAACCCTTAGAGCCTTGAACCCTGAACCGGAAAAGTGAGCTCGAGATTTCTGCCCAGGTTTGGACGCAAGCACATCGGCTACCAAAGCAAAAGCCCAATACTGCCAGATGGGGGTTTCCGAAAATAGAGGACCCTGATATAGTACCCTAAATCGTAGGATCCTTATTAGAAGAACCCCAGAATAAGGTACCCCTAATTTCCGGACACTCCCAGATGTCAAGAGACATTTCGCATCAAGTGAGGGCCCCCCAACCCCTAACCCTAAGGGTCCATGTACTCATATAGTATATACATTGGCCTTAAAGTAGTCCCTATTTGGGTACTTTGGGGCCATGTATCTCTAGATGGGTAATTACATGGACCCTTAGGGTAACATCCCTGAACCCATTGGGGCAAAGCTGCGATGATGCAGTCAAAAATGTTCCAGCCACGGTCCCGCCCGCAGAAGAAAGCTTGGCATCCGAAGGCCATGAGCTTGAGAATGATCTCCTGACGGCCATTGGCGAGGAGAATAATCTTTGGGCCAGAATTGGGGGAAAACCTTTCTTTTCTGCTATCTTCTGTACCGACGCATACACTAGTTCGGAACCTTCCGCGGGAAAGGGTGGCTTTGGCATCCACCAGCTAGAACAGTGCATTACAAGTACAATCTGGCAAGAACCACGATTTGGGTAGGAGTTTCGGCTTACAACAAATGTGCACATCATACGTACATACATACATACATACATACATACATACATACATACATGCATACATACATACATACATACATACATACGTATATATATATATATATATATGCATATATATATATATATATATATGTCTTTTTTATACATGCTATCATATACTAAAATACAATATGGTCTAACCTATATAATATCTTAGCTCTCACTCTCTCTCTCTCTCTCTCGCAGGGTTCAGAGTATAGGGCCGGCTTCGAGGTTTAGTGGGGAGGAGGCAGTTTGCACTTCCTGGTCTGCCAAAAACCCCAAGGGTCCAAAGGACCCAATAAGAAGGCACTTGGGTTTAGGATAGTAGTTATGTAGGTTACTATTGGGGAGAGTATGGGAAAGAAGTAAAGTAGAAGCTGTGGCCGTCCAGCACGAAGAGGCAAACGATGCTGTTGTTGATGATGAAGAAATAGTCCTGCGAGGAGACAATTGCTAAAACCCCAATATGGTTAGGGTCCCATACGCCTCTTAACCTACAGGGAACTCCAGAAAGTTGGAATATGGTTTCATGGTAGGATACACTATATTTTACCATAGAAGGGTTAGGATAATCGTATTCCAACTTTCTGGCTTTTACCTCAAACCGTTGAGCCCTAGACTGACCTAGGTCTTCATCCATGCCGAATGTGCAGTGCATCGCAGAAGGCAACGTGACGGTCCGGATTTTCGTCGGGTGGCAAATGCCGGGCAGTGTCCACCTGTCGGAGCCGCAACACTGATCACGCAAAGCCGAGCATAGACAAACAACCATGAAGTCTCAAAACTTGAAAGCTTGCTGGCGCTTGCTGCATAACCTCAGACGGTACTACAGTTTGTGTGGCAGAACCTGAGAGATAGCCTCCCTTCCAAGGTGAACGGCGGGTGGCCTCCACGCCGAGAATTACCATGTTGGCGAGGATGAGGAACATGATACCTGTCAGCTCAGGCTGAGACCAAGAATGTCCTTAAAAACCCAGTTCTAAAGGGTAATATAGGGGCCTTAATAATTAGAAAAAGGTTTTGGGGCCCATTATACTATACTATACTATACCTATAATAAGGAACCCCCCCCCCCCCCAAAAAAATAGTATAGGTAAATATTAAGGCCCCTATATTCTAAAACCCAACTATAGATCCCTTCTAGAACCCTTAAAAGGATCCCTCTCGGCCCATATAGCACATGTTAAACCATAAGCCAGATCCAGGCTGCAATGTTGTGTGGGAGCCCGGTCGGATAATTTAGATAGTGGGATCCCGCCTTAGGATTTATGGGTTTAGGGTTTAGGGGTTCAGAGTTTAGGGGTTTAGGGGTTTAGGGGTTTGGGGTTTAGGTGTTTAGGGTATAGCGGTTTCGGGGTTTAGGGTTTAGGCGTGAAGGTGCTTTGTATGGAATATAGCTCGTGATATTTAGGCTGCTGGGGTGAGGCTTCAGCCTTTCCGGTTTCAGGCGTTATAGGCATTAATTATTACCTTGAGCCTGAAGAACCTACCTTTTCAGGGCTCTTTATGATGATTTCCTTGCATAAGTCCAGAAAAAGGTAAGTTATTCAGGGTTAAGGTGGGATTTAGGCTCGGCTCGGCCTTTGTGGGTTGATTGGACTAGGGTTTGTGTCGGGTGTTTTTTTTTCAGAGGGTCGAAGTACTCCCTAGTAAAGTGGGACTGTAGGTGCGAAGAGCCACAAAAAAACAACCTACACTTAGGGTTAGGGCTACCTTGAGCGTGAATAACCTACCTTTTTCTGGTCTTATATCAAGAAATCGTAAAAATGAACCCTGTTGAAAAGGTAGCTTCTTCAGGCTTAAGGTACCCTAAACTCTAAACCATGGCCGGCCTCGGTTTAGTTAGGTGCTGAATGTCGTTGATGCACGAGATTCTGACCGGAAGTATACGGTGCAGTTAAATCCTGATGTAAAGCCCCAATAGTTTGTCATACAACTATGTGCATACATACATACATACATATATATATATATATATATATATTTATACATGTATATGTATACGTACATGTCTATGTCTATGTGTATGTGTAGGTATATGCAATGTATGGTATAGGAATAGTAATAGTAGTATCGTCATCGCAGGTCATACTCTTACTAAGCATCTGGGCAATTGTATAGCAAAGCCTGCAAAAATGAAAAACCCATTAACCCTCAACCCTGAACCCCTCAACCCCTAAACCCCCAAACTTTCCGAACCCCTAAACCACTGTATAGAACCCTTATAGACCCCTTTAAGGAAACCCTAAGTCTAGGGTCGGATGTCGGGTTGAGCCTCCATTGCTTGCATACTTTCCGACATTTTTTGCTATACTCCCAAAAAAAAGTAGGCGCGCGCACCCACTAAACTCATATCACTCCTTTAGGCTCCAGGGTTTACACTAAACCCTAAACACTAAAAGCTTCAGGGATTAGGTTCGGGGTGGGATGTGGGTTTTTGGGGCTTAAAGGTCTGAGGCTGATGGATTTTTTGGTGCGGTATAGGGTTCAGGGTCTTGGGGTTGCGGACTTGGGGCTTAGGATTCAGCTTTTATAATTCGGTTTCGGGATTTTGGATTTGGGGTTAAGGACTTAGGGACTGCGGATCGGGTCACCAAAAGACACTGAGTTACCACAGTGGCCATTCGTTTTCTACGGGCTAAGTGGAAGGACGGCTCCGGCAAGGGAAAGATCAAATCAGAAATCCGTGTTCTGGTCCCGTGCGCCGTAGAACAACGCAGAAGAACCTTGCAAGCATTGGAGGAGCCGACGAAATCAAAGTGATGCCAAGATGCCATAGGAAAAAGCAGACGAGGTTACGACCTTCCAGCGAGGGCCATGCAAATGTTGCCAAGAGGTTC